GAGTTGAGTATTGGTTATCACGCACGAAACGTAACAGTAAAAAATGTATGCATCAGGAGTACATGAGCAAAAGTTACATGAAGCAAGAGGACATGAGTAAGAGTTACATGAAGCAAGAGGACATGAGTAACAAATTTATGCTCTTTACATTGAGTACATGAGTAGAAGCTACATGAAGCAGGAGTGCATGAGAAAAACTACATGAAGCGAGAGGACATGAGTAAAAATACATGAAGCAAGAGGACATGAGTAAAACTACATGAAGCGAGAGGACATGAGTAGAAATACATGAAGCAAGAGGACATGAGTAAAAAAAACTTCATGAATCAGGACTACATGAGTAATGGTATACGTGCCTGGGGGACATGAGCAAGAAAAGTATGAGCTAAGACTGCATGAGGCGAATCCACGTCAAGAATTTGACAACATGGCGGAGTGCAAGAAGTTACGAACGGCAAGGAAGAGGGAACTCACCAAGGAAGGTAACAACATTAAGCGCCGGGTAGCAGAGGAGGATTATGAAGAGACGGAAGCAAGACTTCGGAGATTAAAGGGACTATTTTCTGAGTTTGCTAACGCACACGAGGGTTGTCATGTGCTCCTCACTGACGACGGAGATATTGACGATAGTGATGGGTATTTCTTTGAGGTTCAAGATGCGTATGTTAATGTGGTGAGAGAAGCAAAGGCATTCCTCAAGAGTTGGAAGTTACCCATTAAGCCGGATGCATTAAGACGACAAGAGCAAGAATATGCACGACTGGAACAGCAGAGATTGTTCCAGGAACATCAAGAATCTGCTAGAAAGCAGGAGGAAGAGCAATTAAGATTGTTTGAGGACCAACAAGAAGCAGCCAGGAGGCAAGAGGAAGAACGTATTAGAATGGAACAAGAAAGAATGTTCCAGGAACAGCAAGAAGCAGCCAGGAAGCAAGAGGAAGAACGTATTAGAATGGAACAAGAAATAATGTTTCAGGAACAGCAAGAAGCCGCCAGAAAGCAAGAGGAAGAACATATTAGAATGGAACAAAAAGAGCTGAGCGAATGCAAGAAGAACATCGTGAAACAGAGAGAGCTTTTCAGCAACAAGAGGAATTTATGCAGGCATCGCAGAAGCAACCGGAACTGCAAACAGTGACAGGTCACGGTGGTCGTGAGGTACCAGAAGCTTT